TCGGTCACGAGTCGACCCTTTTCTATATTGAATTCCTCCTCAGCCTTGGCGTCGATCTCTTCGGCCTTTTCATTGGCTTCTTGTTCTATGAAAGCCATCATATGTTTGATCTAAACATCCAATGGATAATCAATGGGTTAGCCATTAATGGTAATCACTTGTCAACACATCCGACCCATTCATACAATACCTGTTTCTGGACGTCTGCGTCACTCAAAGCCATTTTGGATCAGTTGTTCGGTTCACCGATTGGTTCACAACAACAATACAATTGACAAACAATTTATGAATTGCTTTAAAACTGGATTTAATGGACGATTAAATCAAACGATTAGTTGTAAAGCAATGACTGAATTGCAATGAATGGGCGTTTCATTCAATTCATGTCAACCACTGATTACAAAGTGCTTCACATTATTCTCACATCAATTTCGTCACGTTTTCCATCAATTCTTGCACAGAATATTCTGGCAATTATTCTTGCCATCAGAATAAGCAGTAAATCACTATTATTTGTACATTTGTTTCAATTATAAATTATATGCTTTTAAAAGCTTTCAAATTTTCAAGTAATTTAAAGATTGTAATTTATTTCATTGAATCAAATATGAAGACAGAATTTCCGTATGTATTCATTAGTAACACATTTATAATGAATTTAATGGTCATAACAATTGAATGCATTGAAGGCTATTACCGAAAATAGTGAACGGAGGCATCGCGGGTGTTATCGGAGTAACATGTGTGTTCCCAATCGACCTAGGTGGGTTGTCAGCAAATTACATTACATACCCCCGATTCATAAAATAGTGATTTTATTATAATTGCAGTCAAAACCCGACTCCAAAACCAACAAATGGGTCCAAATGGACAACTCATGTATAGATCAATGTATGATATATTGAAATATTGCCGCTAATTGTGGAGAATATTATTAATATTGATGTGAATATCACTAAAGGTTTGATTGTTTTGGGAAAACATTTCGAAAAGACGGCTTCTTTGGTATGTATAGGGGATCCGCTGTTAATATACTCCTTATAACACCCGAAAAGGCCATTAAATTAGCGGCGAATGACTTCTTCAGATATAAATTGACGGATGAATACGGGTTTGAATTTGCAATACATTTACCCAATAATTGGTTCATTGATTTGACAAACAATTGTCTCAATTAGTAAATTATCGATTCCACGGGAAATGATATCTGGAGGTGCGGCCGGTTTTTGCCAAATAATAGGTTTGTAACAAAATATTTCTATAATTGTAATTATTATAATTAAAATATATGATTGTGACAATCAGTGACCACTCCTATGGAACTATTGAAAATTCAATTACAAGATGCGGGAAGGGTTTCGGCCAAAGGTTTGTCACTAATGTGTATTCATTTAATGGAAATATTAATGTTTTGTTTCACATTAGGTGTTATTGAAGGGGGAGAAGCGATCGTTGCCACGTCTGCCACAGCTATCGCACTAAAACTGCTAAAAACTCGAGGAATACTTGGCCTCTATAGAGGAACCGCTGCAACAATGCTCAGAGACGTCTCATTCTCGATGATATATTTTCCACTCTTCGCTAATCTCAACAAATTAGGCCCAAAACGAAAAGACGGTTCCGGAGAGTCTGTGTTTTGGGTAAATATGAATGGCATTCAAATTTGCTATGAATTGTAAGAATTTTTGTTTTAAACTTGAAATGAAGGCAACATTTTTGGCCGGTTGTTGCGCGGGTTCGGTGGCCGCCGTGTCTGTCAACCCTTTCGATGTCGTCAAAACACGGCTTCAAGTGTTGAACAAAGCGAAAGGTGAAGTCAGTTATAGCGGTATTCTGGACGCCTTCGTCAAGATATCCCAACGAGAGGGCTATCAAGCATTCCTAAAGGGCGCTGTTTGTCGTGTTATGGTTATCGCACCGCTATTCGGTATATTATACTCACATTTCTACTTTATATTAACAAATATTGATAACTTATTAATGTTTATAATACAGGAATTGCCCAAACAGTGTACTACATGGGTGTCGGGGAATTCCTGCTGGGAATAAAACACACAAATTAATGCCAATAACTGGAAAACCACTCCATTTTTATTTTATTTACAATAGATTAGATTAATTGAGTTTTTGTTATAAATATATATTTTTAGGACTATTTTTAATCATGTTTTTGTAATCAACTATTATTTTAATGATGAGAAACTCAGTATTAATTGTTTAGACATTTTTTGTTAAACAATTGAAACCATCCTTTATTTTTTGGGGCCATTCTATGACTTCTATGGGTATAATCTTAAATCAATTGACAATCAATTATAATCTTCAATCAAACGACAATCAATTCTGACAATCAATTTTCAGACAATCAATCAATCATTATAACCATTGCCACAAAGTATATATGATTATTGTAAATGAATTTCAAAAATTAGATCCAATTAACACTTTAATTAGGAAACAGTTCCTAATATAGTATATATTTACTGATTTATCCAAACATTTTAAATATTATATTACTGTTAATGTTATACAAAGTGTTTTATTTTAAAATTTTAAAATACTTATAATTATGAAATCAAACAAAATATCTATGGTAATATTTAAATGTTATTCTTGATCATTAAATACTATTGTATTAATTGTGCTAATAGTGTATATATAAAGTTATCTAGATATGAATAATTGAATTAAACACAAGTCAATTTAAATGTTAAACATTCACTTTTATTGTTAATTTTATGTCACTTAAATTGCTTATTAATTGTGTAAGTTATTGTAACTGACATACAATGTATAACTCAATGAATTATATTTTAAACCTATAGATCTTATTATTGATTCCATTGTTCAACACATCATTAAACTTATGAAATAAATACAATTTATTTAGTGTTTAGAAGTCTTTATTACATTTATTTGAATAATTGTGATCATAATCTAATTACATAACTAATCCGTTAACCAATTCATTGATACAATCATTAATATATTCTTATTATAATCTTCGTTGCGATTATTGAGATATATTTGAAAACATTTTAAATACAATTCATTTCTCTTTATTGTAAATAAGTTTCAATGTTTTCTCCGATTAAAGTTAAGTCACAGCATATAATAGATATTATATAACATCTGGACTAGAATTACATACAATTTATTTGTAAACCAAAAATAAAACCTAAATTTAAAATAAAAACTTATAGTTTTTGCGATATATTTCCGATTAATAGACAATTAAAATAGCGATAATAATAACTGGAATGTTGTCAACACATGGATTGGTATTCAAGTGTCTAATCATTGAATTTTCGATTCAGATTACGTCCGAAAAGAGCGGTTCTTATTTCGGGTAACAACTGTTGGCTAATCAGTTCCAGACGACTCTCCAAAGTGTTGGTCACTTTGGTTTTAGCCTTATTTGTTATCAGTTCCACTCCACCACAGCTATGGTCAACAGACATGTCATACAATTAGATTGAATCCACAATTATTGTTGAAACAAATAGACTGCGGATCACATACCTGTCCGACGCGATAAAGTTTTCGGTGTCTAACTTCAAGTCCGTGTCCCGACCGGTGGCCTCCTTATACTCTTGAATGGAACCACTGAATACATTTTGGACCAGTTTTACGTCTTGCTGTCGACAACGAATGATCACTTGTTTCTCCAAGAGTTGAAACAAACCCTTTAAGAGTAAAAAATTTATTAAAAATAAACTCCAATCGAAACCAATAGTAAAGTCTTAGTCAAAACCTGTGAGATTAGTTTCTGAAGAACCTTCTGGTATAAGTTGTGATCTTTGGTCACCTCCAAGAGCTTATGTCGGGCCTCTTCGTTCACATTACGGATGTGCTCTTCGCGAGCCTTAAGGACCTTAAGTCGGGCCGCGTTTTGCATATGACTGTTCTGACTGTCAAAGACACGCAAATAAAATCATTATAATTAAGACAATCAATGGTTTAATGGCAGTAATTAGAGCAGACATTCGTCTCTGGAGTTCCACTTGTTTCTCCTTCTTCTCGTAGAAGTCCATAATCTTCAGCCTCTGTAGCCAGTGCTCAGCTGGGAAAAGATATAACTTAAGGAGGAGTCGGAACCGCAGCTAGAGAAGCCGGAAAAGTAACCGAAGAACAAGATACTTTCGGTAGTATACAAACTAGATTTGTAGGTTACCTATAGCCATTAATGGTAATCAATTGTCAACACATCCGAGCCATTCATACGATACCTGTTTCTGGACGTCTGCGTCACTCAAAGCCATTTTGGATCAGTTGTTCGGTTCACCGATTGGTTCACAACAACAATACAATTGACAAACAATTTATGAATTGCTTTAAAAGTGGATTTAATGGACGATTAAATCAAACGATTAGTTGTAAAGCAATGACTGAATGCAATGAATGGGCGTTTCATTCAATTCATGTCAACCACTGATTACAAAGTGCTTCACATTATTCTCACATCAATTTCGTCACGTTTTCCATCAATTCATGCACAGAATATTCTGGCAATTATTCTTGCCATCAGAATAAGCAGTAAATCACTATTATTTGTACATTTGTTTCAATTATTAATTATATGCTTTTAAAAGCTTTCAAATTTTCAAGTAATTTAAAGA